TTCTCGACTTCTCCTAGTGTTGAGGGCCTATCTCTATGTCCCATTCAGGATCCGACTGGATAACGAGCAACGCAATCGTGGCTGGAGGCCAGTTAAACTGTTCCTCGAAGTGTTCTGCACATCGTTCCAGTCGTCTCCCCTGCAAGTGAGTCGCAAATCCGTCCTTCTCCGCTATAGCCTCACTAACTGTTGTTGACCTTTCCCACCCCCTCCTCAGTCCCCTTAATAATTCTAAATAACTGTCTACTGTTACCAATCACCGCTGCCTTCTCCATCTCTTTAGCCTTCGCTTCACACCACTGTTCGCGATCGTTGCGCAGACTTTTTCTCAATCCACTTTTAAGTTGCGCTCGCTCTTCATTGTACTCACAGCCTGCACCCAGGGATGCGTTCATGTGCATCCATTAGTTCAGAAGAAGCTGCTGATATCCACTGGCTCTTTTTAGCCATTATTTTAGAGTCGGCTACAGTCTTCAGTGCTGCTTTTACAGCAGACTGAAGATGGCACCAAGCTCCTTCTGGATGAGTGATAGTCTTTTGTCCCGATAACTGCCTAACCAACTTCTCGCTGAACACGGCTTTGGTGTTTTCGTTGTCCAGCAGCACTCGTAGTGGTTTTGTTGCCAAATTTTTCTTACGTACATTGAGACGCAGGTATATACGCGCTCGGACCAACGATTGATCGTTGTCAAAATACGTACTCCAGAAGGAGCGGCAGTCTTCCACCGATCCTCTCCAGCGATGACTAATAGCAATGTGGTCTATATGTGGCCGGATTCGAACCAGCGACCACCGCGTTACCGGCCCGGAATTTTATTTCACTTCAACCACCTTCACTTTCACCTTTAATCATCATCCAGTACAAACACTAGTCTCCCAAACTACGGCTATCTCAGATAGTCAAATGAGAATAAAAGTACGTTAAATTTTCAACAAAACTATACATTTCGATGTTCTAGGTTGTAGGTCATCGAAAAGATAACGCCAAAATAAAGTGGATCCGCCTCATCTTGCTTCCATTGCTGCTCTTGCTCTTTTCAAATTCATAAAGGTGGCCTTGCGTATGAAAAATAAACACCTTTTTTTACCTTTTAGTGAATTGATTACGTATGTAGCACTGGAATCAATACAATGCTGGTGCTATCATTAAATTATTAAACTCTCTTAAAAAAACTAAGCTGTTATCAACAACAACAAAATACTTCAGTGTTTTATATATATATATATATATATATATATATATATATATATATATATATATATAACATAGGATACGCTTTACCTATATAGAGATGCTTCAATGAACACTATGCACCTTCTACTGCAAATTTAATGAAGGAGTAGAATTACAAGTTTAAATTCTACAGTTTTTATAGATTTCAGACGTAGATCCACATAGGACAACACGGTAACCAATAGAGACAATCATTTGGTCTACAGTAGGAATAGAAGGAAAACCGACATGAGTGGACAAACGTGCAGCTTTCATCTTTTTACCGCGCACAATTTGAAAGAAAAGATTCACTACTTTGTAATACAACTTTAATCTGGATAGAATTCGACCACCTACCATAAAAATCTGCTATTACTGTTATATAACCTTAAGTCATCTAAGCAATCAACGGAGCAAACAATAAGAGGTACAAGTAAATCAGTTCTCTCTACTACGAACTTAATAATGCATATGACAATTCTACAAATTATGTCCCAGTCCTTAATTAACCGATAAGACAGACCAAGTATCAACTACAAAGATATAAACATGAATGAAAAATTCATTAGAGATAAGATTCAAAATATCAACTAAAATTCTAAATCATAGTAGAATTCTATACAACGATGTAACAGCTAAAGCTGCCTTACTACTCGATGCAGTCGACTGTATTTCTCTTATTCAGGAGTATGAATTTCCCTCCACTCACTAAAGTATGATCAGATGGCATTCAGAGTCCAGTAAAAAGCCAAGTCTGTTGCAGTTTCATTTATTTTATTGTTCAATGAGTAGTTGAATTTGTAAACAGTGAAATAAGAATTAAATAGGAGATGAGTGAAAACTAAGTTAAAAGAAAAGGCCTGAATACTTCAGTAAAACTGAGATCAGAACTGAACCAAGTTACAAAATCCAGAAAACATACATTTTGCACAGAGATTAAACCAATAGCTGGTAATTATAAGGATTAGTTCTAGTTATTGGTGTAAATATCCTAAAATATATTCCACCCTACTCTAAGTACAAAAAATCTTGAGAGTCCAAGGAGTCTGTGGGTTAGTAGCACTAACTACCCGTTTCCCAATCATGTCAATCGATAAAATGCAACTCCATCTCTCAAATTATCTCTTCAACCGAAAAACTTCGCTTTACACTTAACACTTGTTAGTCAATGGTTCATTCTAGATGTTTCGAAAGCATAATTGGTATTTGACCTTACTACGCCATCAAGATGTCGTATCCGTACAACAGAAAAGGGTGAACAGATATGCTGAGTAGTGTCCCAGTAGCATAGATGAAAAGAGACGTAGCAAAGTAGAATTTTATGCAAAAGTGCGCCATTTTATGCTACAATTGATGGTTGGGCTTAAATAGTGAACTAATAGTAATTAAGTGGTATTAGCAATGAACAAAAAAGACGTGACCGAAATCCCCACGTCCAAGTTAAAATTTCACCAGAGATCAGGTATACAAAAGATTTTCATATACACACCTTACAGATGGACCAGACATAGATTTAGATTACTCATGAACAATATTTCTGCGTTTGTCAGATGTAAGACAGCTTTCAACCTGAATCCTTCGACGAATTCCACTTTAAAAGAGTTATATTATCTTCTCTAACTTGCAGGCAGGGGTAGAGCTGCATCCAGGAAGACACCTACAATCCTAAAATTTTCTAGACAACAGTACACGGCAACGGTCTGACGAAAGTACACATAAGACTGAAAAATTCTGAATATGGAACTTTCAAAAAAGTGATATGCTTGGCTGTTGTTACTTTAGTGGTATACACATGAAACAGTTTACCACATACGCAACAGCATCACAATTTCGCACTAAAACAACGGTTGGAAACTGGGGTCAGTAGTTGTAACTAATTGACGTTAGGTACGTAGTGGTAATCGACTGGAAGTGCTGAACCTAGGTTGACTGACACTCATCAGGAAGATATACTTGTAATCTGCAGCATATAGATAGAGTACCTCGGTAATAAGATCGAAACAAGTTACAATTTTAAACTTGTGTTTTACCTTTAAACAGACTTATTCGTGAATCACTCCCAAAAGAGAATAAAGTACTGGACAGAATATTTAAAGAAACTCCTCAAAAAACCTTCACCAACTTTTCGGTAATTCTACATTCAACTGCACGATCATTAGGAAGGGATGTACTTCAGTCTTCCTAAGGATTTCAACATGTACATGGAGTCTCGATGAAAACTCGGTGCACATTTAAAAGATACAGTTGGCATTAACTAGCCTGACCTAAGTATGATTTCCGTACTTCACTTGACTATCCAATAGGTGGTCAGTACACTATATCAGTATGTTCGTTTCTACTGTCCAGCTATGAGCCATAAAAGCTGACAGCTAAAACTATGACCACATTAAAGTGATTGTTGCTAATAATGTTTTACATACTAGTCTCATTTGAGGAAGTACTGTATAGTTATTATTGAGTTTTCAGTGGCATCATGAAGTTCTCAATACCACTAAATCTGTTGGTAAAGGGTCACTAAGAATTTAGCGCAAATGAATCGTCTGCTCCTACTAGTTTGACACACGCATCTATTTTTATTCTAGCAATAAATAGCCTTTGTTGACAAGTATTGGAGTAGAATCCTTGCATAACTGTACCAAGTCCTTAGTTGGTAGAATGAAATAGACAGTTCCAGTAAATATCTATTATGCGTTATGAGTTCAATAATTCCCAAACCTTAGTGGACGACAAATAAAATGAAAATCTATCACACGGTTATTCATTGTGAAAACTTCTGCATAATAGTAAAACGGCCAACAAACACTCCATTTGTTGTCTTAACTTTCTTAAAATCATACTCTTTACTATTTGAAAATTTGGATGTATCCAGACCAACGAGGGATTAGATTATAGTAGTGATGGATAGAAGCTGGCAGTGGAAACCAGGATGCGCATTTCGTCCTATTTGGGACTCGTCAGCTGGATGTACACCTGCCTCCCAGTGAGTGGTGTTGTTAAAACACAGATATTATCGAGGCATCTTCACAAGAGCTCATATGCCAACAGAGACCGATCAATTCGCTCCAATCAACGAGCAATTATTATAAAGGATTGGATTGTTTCGAAAAACTAGACCACTGAGTTACTGGGATTCTTTGCATAAAGTGCATTTTTACTTGCGTTTATTTTTTACTACTCCTCAACTTTTCGATTTTGCTAAGAAGACCCTTCTCAAGAGTATGAATCTGATATTACGCTTTCAGGTTGGGTACAGAGGTGACCTTTTATGACTATCTAATTTAAGTGTTATATAACATAAGTATCAATATAATTTAGGTGAGTGATGTTAACAAGTAGGTAAATGAGGTTCATTCAAATTCTGTAAGTAAGGTAGTACAAATATAGTAGAGAATTTTGTTCAATTGTGAAATATATATACTAGCTTGAAGAGTTATTAGGAGGGGGGAGTAAGAGAAAATTACTACTTAGGAAAAGTGAATAAATTAAGAATAAATCATGTAATTTACTGTCAACATAAATAGTCTTCAATCTTCGACTTGTTTATCATTTAGAACATTTTGTTCGCAACTTAGATCAGCTTCGGTTAGACGTGTTATTACTTGAAGTGTTGTCTCTACTCTCTACCCTAGAGATAAGGCTCTGTTGTCCCAGATAAGGGATTCGGTCTTTTAATTTGAGCAGGTATGGGTGCAGTGTTCGTCACTTTCACGAGAATTATTGAAGTGAAATAAAATAAACCAAAACACATAATTCAATAAACCAGACAAATAGTAAATAACGGACTTACAGGGTCAGCAACAGTTGATAATGCTTTAGAATGTGCAGCACAATCGTCAATTACGTTAGCTGCATCGAATTTTCCTTGTCTACGATAAAGAGCAGCCAAATTTCGAAGTGTTGTAACTACAGTTTGACTGAAGAAAAATCAAAAAGTAACTCTTACCAATAAACAATTGAAAAACTGATAATATATAAACTCTGACCATCAAAATATAAAAATTAATGAATATATTAATGATAGATAGTGGCTAGCATTGGGATCCAGGATGCGCATTTCGTCTTCTTTGGGACTCGTCAGCTAGGTGTATCTGTCTCCCAGTGAGCGATATTGTTCCCGATAAGACTCGAACCCAGGACCGACCTGACACAAGTATCAACATAAATGAATATACATACTAAATCGGTTAGTTATCTATACGGCATGATTGCACTAGATTTTCGTACGGTGAAAACAAATTAGAGTTCCACAGAATACACATTGTATTATCGATCTGGTGAGAAGTCGTAGATTATGATATTATCAAGTGAACATAAATGAGGTTGGTAGACAGAGAGAGAGAGAGAGTCCAGTCTGCAACCCCAAGAGAATTCTGAATCCCAGATCTGTTTAAATACAACGTCTTAACTGTTAAATTAAGCATAAGATGGTTTTCAGCAAAACTACAGTGAGTTCATATTCAGTAAAGAAAACACACTGAAATTCCGATTCCCGAATATGTTCATTTAATGATCTACATACTGGACAGATGATCAGAAATAATATATGATCTCGAACAACAGTGTATAGATCCAGTATACAAATGTCAGCCAGTTCGGTTCAATTTGTACAGATAATGACTCAGTGTACAATGTTTACTGCTTCGCATAACTTATACCATAAGAGGAAAAAAGAAAGCAAAAGTATGAAATTACTCTGAGTAGTAACAGAAGTATCCCGATAAATGAAATAAGAAATATGCCGACAAAAATTCAACCATAAACAAATTAGTTATTAACAGTACCAATAAATTCATCCTAACAAGGGTTCATATAATTTAATACAAACTATGTGGATGTATTTAAAAAAAACAATTAAAAAAATAAGCGATCCTGATTTCGAGAGTAAACCGAGAGGAGAAAATGAGCCATGTAATGATTTTGAAATCCCAACCACTTGCATTGAACTCGACAGTTTGAAGTGTCACTACTACGGACCGTCAAAGTCTTGTACTTGACTCCAACAGTAATCAGTGTGCAAAGTTCGGAAAAAGAGTTAAACTATGCTGTCTGGTAATCAATAATCTCTGACAGTTATTCAGCTGATACCACCTTAACATGAAAACCACGTAATTTTCTTTCTACTAGAACTACTTAGTCAACTAACCCGCAATCTCAGGATAGCATTCATTACGGAGTGACATCACTTGGAGAATCATTGAAAGTTCGGGAGCACTGGACAGCTTTTTCGTCCTAGTATGGAACTCGTCAGCAGCGCACATTCATGACCCTATCAGGGATCAAACCCAGGGACGTCAGATCTCACAGTGAGTACCCTAACCATGCAGACACCAGTTTGGGATCCAAAAACTTCAGCATTTTCCTACTTCTGTTAACTCATGTTACAGCACAAACACCAGATAATGTCTTCTATACCCGATTCGATTAACTCCATAGATCACAGCTTTTCATTAGAACTTCGGAAAATCTATCTCTGTCCAGTGCTTTTAGGCTTTCAATGGTTCTCTAACTGATACCAGTTCGTGAGTAATACTACTTTGAAATCCATCAATCCCCTTATACCTCAAAATTAAACCATAATGAATGGATAATTTGGTTGAATAGTAACAATGGGAATGTAATAAGTTTAAAGTATTCACATCTTTAATAAAATATGTTCATGAAAACTCAACAACAAGTTTTCAAAATATCAGAGTTTTTTCTAGAGAACAATACATGAAGAGATAGATGTTTAACTGAGTATACACTTAGTCTTCTTTAATTATATTGTTAAACTATGAATGACAATCGATCACTTAAAGTGTAAGTATGGTAACTAACATAATTAAACGACACACCTATTTCGTAGAAAAATGTTAACAAGAGAAATACTGACAGAAATATACTGAAATTATACTACTACACAGAATATTCTTTAATATTTTCCATATAAATCACAACCGTAGAAATCAATATAATCAATAATAATCATAATAATTAGACTTTTCTGTAAAACTTACCTGATAAGTAACCTTATATACTCAAAAATAATTTGTCGATAAACAAAATAAGTAGAGGACTGTGAAATACACACCACAAATAGGGAATATACAGAAGTCCATATATATATTAATCAATAAGTGAAAGATTAATCAATACACTTTAATAAATGAAGAAGGAAATTGTCCAACGTTGTTAGATTAAAATTCGATTAAATTTCTCCTCAAATATTATAAAATCTATTTGATAACTGATCAATACTAAAAAGTGGATCAATAAAACTCTTTTTAGCAGAAGAAGAACAAACAAAACTCAACTGAGACACAAAAAGCAAGAAAAATAATGAAGAAATCCTGCTACACAAAATATAACCACTATTTTTAATGCCTTTTATCTATCACTTTGTTTCAACTTTAGATTTAGAATACAGAAGCCTGAAATACGAACTAGGTTAAATGAATAAAGAATAATGTGTATAGAAAAATAGCGTGAATAATGATAAATATCTGCAGTTTAGGTTGCGAATATTCTGCTAGTGTTACTGTTTGTTCATCAAGCTTGAATTTTCTTCGAAAGATGCTTTGATTTTTATGTAAGCAGCAGACAGTTAGTGTGAATATTCAACAAAATGGAAATGATTGCTAGATGACTACATTCGTGACTGATCCATTGGCAGAATGTTGCTTAACGTAATGCCAGATAATTGACTATCCCTCCACCAATTTATCCATTTGGGAGTGATATTACTGGTCCAATCTTTAAACTTGACTTTTTCATTCTGTCAACATTTAATCACTTCTTATCTGGCTGTTTTTCAAGTCTTTTTCTCAAATTTACTGCTTTTTACCCATTAAGCTTCTTAGCAGCTTTCCCTACGACGTTACGTTTGAAAACCGTTAAGATGACATGCGTAACACATGTCCAAGCCACCGAAGACGGTGGTTCCAGATGACTCCGCTCATTGAATGATGATCTCAATCATATCCAGACACACGTTGTTGCACCTCAGAATTTTTTACTTGGTGCTGTCATCTGATACGAGCAATTCTACGGAGGCAACGATGATCGAACACAGAGTTGTCTCACATCCTCACCTCGCAGAGGCAAGGTTTCACAGGCGCAGAGCAGAACTGCTCGCACTGAAGCGTTGTAAACTCAACCTTTTACGGTCACAACGGCACCAAAGGTGGCCCAGACTGGTGTATTGCACTCTGGTTTTCGATATACTGTTAGAAATGTCATCACACACTTCCACCAGCACTCACATAACTTTTCGACTACTTCCAAAGGTGAGCGCATGCACAGGCTCCTACCAATCTTGCAAAAGTACTTTGCACTTTGATAGTGCAAAGCAAATACCATCCATAAGGGAAACTAATCGTCAACTGAATAAGTGCAATTTGAGTAACCTGTGTGTTATCGCACAGTAGGACGATATCGTCTGCATATTCAAGGTCGAATAGCCGTTCTCCGGGTAGTAGATCTACACCACCATCACCCACCTCCTCCTTCAGAGCTGTCTTAAGAATGTTATCGATGGGAAAGTAAAAGAGGAATGGAGAAATCACGCAACCCTACCTAACCCCATTGATGGTTTGGAACAATGGAGACAAGTGGTTGCATACCCTCACTCTACCTGAGGGCTGTTATATAAGGCTTTCAGGATGTTAATAAACTGTCAATTGTGGTAACAAGTAAAAACATGTCAGTACATAAAAAATCACTCTGATCAATATGAATTGTGAAGATCTATCAAAATATGACGATAAATTCATAAGGATTATTAGATTTCGATAAGAAGTTGCGCAACATAAAATACTTTTAAACTCAAGTATGATCAGAACGCGGATAGAGAGACAAGAAAGAACTAAAAATTAAATATGACATGAATAGTGTAAAAAGAAATAGGTAATTTTAAAGACTGTAAATTTAGACCATGAAAGGAGAAACAATTGAAAATTCTCTTTTGCATACAAAGATAGGGATTATTTATGTAGATGGCAAGAACTTCAACGATGCAAAGAAAAAATCATTAAAATGAAATTATGACATTCACATCCAGTAGTTTAGTCTAACATTCCATCCACTTTTATTATACACCACAGAAAACACTACTTTTTATATCCAATTGAAATGAACTTGGATTAACGCGTGAAAAATATTTTGACAGAAAATTAAATTATCTAAAAAAAAATATATATTTCTCATGTGAAAAATGATTAACTTTCACTTCTCATGAAAGCTGTTGAATATGTATACAGCGCAATTGAAGCTTTATTATCCAACAGTATCAAAATAATCTTAATGATACCTATTCACTGTAAATGTATATCAGTTAATTAAGCGATGAAAATCATCCATCCATCCAAATCAACACACGACCAGGCATTACTGCGTAAAAGTTCAAGCTGCCACAGATCATCTCATATCAGCACATCACGTAAAAACACAGTAAACTTAAAGATGAAGAAAAGAAAATTCAGTCAAAAGAAATACAAAATACGAATAGAGAGAAAGAAAAAAAATGAGAAAATGGTGAGATTCGGTATAACGTCGTTAACATGAGCATAATGTGTGTATACATCTGAGCAACTGACATCGGTTCTCAGCCATATCACCTACAGTCAAGCCCCAACCATTGGTTACTCTCGTCTCCCAAACCAAAAACCACCTAGTCTGCATCACCCCACATGGCTCAAACCAACAGTAAGAGACTTCATGCATTCGTGTATGTTTTAGTCTGCCCACCTAGGGCCTCCTCCCAGCCTCAACCGACTTCGGACAACACTGTGTGACGAGGAAATCAGAAACTAGGCATACCTAACACGTCTCCCAACCATCTCACTCCATGAAGGTTCACAACCGTGTCAACTCACTCACCTCTTCTCCCTAAAACTCTACTCCTGACTTCTGCATTACTCACATGGTGACACCACGGAATACGTCCTATACTACGAAGGCAATGGTGGTCAAACACCTCCACCCAGCCTTCGCATGTCTTCCATCTTCAATGGCCATGTTTCACAGACATACAGTAGAACAGATCGGACTGCTGTGCACTAAACGCCACCCTTAATAGACAATCGCATATCACGGCGGCACCACAGGTGGCATAAGTTGGCGAAAGTCAACCGAGACTTTTGTATCCGTGCAGAGATTTCATCGGCCACTGAGCCATCAGGGCTGATTCTACTTTCCGGGTAAGTGAAGTGGTCGACACACTCAATCACTACATTCTCTGTTGTTAGCCGAGGCACCATTGAAGACCAATCCTGGAGTAACAATTTTGCATTTCGGTGGTTAAAAACGAATCCCGAACATTCTCAAATTCCCACTTAGTGTTCAGAAGACTCTACATCTTGTCAGAGATGAAAATAGTTAGTTAGAGGGTAAATTTAGAGTCGATAGCATTTAAAATACTGAAAGCACAACAACCAACATTGCTTCGACCACCAAGGTTCCGGCAGCCAGGTATTATCCTTAGCTCTCTCACAATAGGTGTGGCTCATTACCTACTGCACGAATGTACGCAAAGTTGCTAAGTGGATTTAGACTCGATCAGTTTGTTGAAGCGTGGTCATACAACCCGATATAGTTGATAAATGGAAGAGAAATAAATTGAAATATGTAAAAACTTTTAAGTGTCATCCCCACAATGTTAAAAAAAATCATTACAAGGTTGTTCCGAATGCTTAAGTGAGTAAACCAGTTTTTTCAGCAGGATAAGAAGATCTTGTGAAAAAGCTTCATGACAATACTTGTTGATCAGTTTGACTACCTGACAGCCATGGTTTGGCAGACTTGTACTGATACTAGGTGATGACTGAAAGTGAAATGAAAATTTGGACCGCGGTAGGATTCCAACCAAAGACCACCGGATTTCCGGCCTGGTGCTCTACCAACTGAGCTACTAGATCCTACTGTTGACCAGATTTTTATTTCAGTCGCCAAGGCTTTTTCCCGACTGTTAAAGCATAAATTATTGGTTGCATAGTTGGCGACTGTCAGCACCACCAACTACACTGAAATACAAATGGGAAGTTGCGAGGTAATAAATGTTTCTTCATCAACCATAAGAAAACGATATTTAGTGGGAGTTTAAACAGTATACAAACTAACATCTAAAGGAAGAAGACAAATAAAGTCACTCGACACATTTTACCTTTCTAAACGGGAAATACGCGCAGGTTGAACGGTTGCATTCCCGCCCTTATTTGAATTAGCCGAAGATTGATAGTCTTCTGCAATCATCCAGATTGGTTTATTAGTATCAGAAATCTTTCCGAACTCTTTTTCATGCGCTCTTGTAAGCACTTCCTTATATAGTTTCTCTGCTTCACCATACTTGCCTTGTTTCAGGTAAGCTGAAGCCTGTAAGGAATATGAGGATGAATTAAAAAGATAAAGAGGACTGAGTATTTCGGAATCAAATCAAAATTGAGGAAGGCAGTAAATTTTATGCAGATACCTAGATGATTCGGATAGTGATAGTAGAAATGAACCAAGTAACTTGACCGAAAACATTTTACGCAGGTGCATATACTGTGGTGTCATACCCTAAAGAAAACTTAGAAAACTCAATGAAAATATATACGATGATAATTAAAAATTTGATAGTGACAGGAGGAAATATTGTGTATATGAGACAAATAGAAAAAGAAATAAGGATTCTAGAGATCATTCAGATATTTTGTGACGGGAAGAGATCTTGAGTCAGTGTATATATCCTACGTAAATAACGAGAAAGCTACCTTTAAAGAAATATCATACGCATAATTCATTAACTTCAGGCATATTCATATCTGTTAGATGAAAATAATCAGACATCATCGAACTGAAGACGACGGCCAATAACAGCTAGTTGCTCAGGCTTGTCAGAGAGGAATATCTGTCAATACAGATATCACTGGATGGTGAATGACACAAGCTGTAAATTTTGCCATATAAAGTAAAGTTTTCAGATGTAGTCATAGTAGCAGGCGCCTTTAACATTCAAGTAGGGAAGCTGAATTAATCGGAAAAGTACCTTTAGAGTATCTCAAGCCGATAAAACAGCAACGGTGATCGTATCTTACGGAATTTTGTTCCGGAAATCACTTATTCTTAGACAGTACTAACCTTAAAAGTAGAAACACTGTCTCAATTGGTATCTGCGAAAATCAAACCAACTGTAGATATTGTTATGCGTGATTGTTGGAGAGGATCGACGGGGGATCACTGTTGTTCAAGCACCTGCTTGTACTCCAAGTACGCGTTAGTTAGGGGTAAGTATGTTTGTGTGCTAACGGTTCCAGGAAACAGATAGCAGTGAAGCCTCTGTATTCCCAACTGGAAGATAAAAACGTCAAGTACACATTTAGAGAGATATAGTCCCTTGGGTTCCTAGTGACATAGGCTTCTGCACGCCTCAGTGACCTCTTTCTCTGATCTTTTGAACCTGGTCACGAAGCCCACAATCTCATTCCTCGCAGACCTCCTCCATGTCACCCTCGGACGTCCAACTCGTCGCTTCCCATGGGATTCCACTCGAGGCGTGAGTCCTCGTCGGCCTTCTCAGTGCATGGCCAATCCATCTCCACTTCTTCCTGCATATTTGTTGGTGATAGGTTCTTGGTTGGTTCGTTCCCAGAGTTCCTGTTGCTTATTTTTTCTGGCCACTGATCTTCAGCAGCGAGCGTAAGCAGTTGTTGATGAATGTCTGTAGTTTATTGGAAATGCTTCGTGACGCGCAAGTCTCTGACCATACAGCACTGACTGACGTTGGTGTTAAAATCCGTATCTGTTCCGCATGCTGAGTGCAGAAGATCTCCACACTGGTTTCAGGCTAATAACGCCTGTCTTGCTTTTCCGATTCTGACTTTGACGTCCTCGTCCGTCCCGCCTGTAGTTGAAACAGTGCTTCCTAGATAGTGAAGGAGGTTACTTCCTCAAGTTTCTCCCGTTGACGGTGATTGGAGTTTGTTTTGTTGTTGGTGGTGTATCTTCATCACTTCTGTCTTCTCTATTCACCTGAAGTCCCGTCTTCTGCCTCTTCTATCAACTTGTTAGTTTTGCCTGCAGATCTTCAAGTTTTGACATTAGGCAAAGTCATCGGCGAAATCCAAGTCTTCTAGGTTCTTTTCCGTCGTCCAGTGTATCCCCTCTTCTCGCTGCCTACTGTTTGCTGCATGATCCAGTCCACCACAATAAGGAATATCATGGGGATAGTAGGCAACCTTGTTTCACTCCTGTCTTCACTTCAAAGCATCACTGAGCTTCCCATTGTGATTACTTGGCATGTGGCATCTTCATATAGTTGTTGAAGAGGCGGATAAAGGTTTGCGGTACTCCGTAGTATTAAGCAGTTTCCAAATTACTTCTCGGTCGACGCTGTCAAAGGCCTTCTCAAAGTCGATGAAGTTGAGGTAGTGATTGCCATTCTATGCTCTGTTCTATGATGATACGAAGCGTTGCAATTGGTCTGCACAGATTTGTACTTCCTGAAGCCTGCCTGTTCCGGTCGAGTTTTGAATCCAGTGCTCTTTAAGCCTCTCAGATGATGCGGCTTAATATTTTCTTGGGGTGGACAGGAGTGATTCCCGCCAGTTCTTGCAAGCACTAGTCTCCTCTTCGGCAGTTTGACAAGTTCAGGTACCTTCTCTTCCTTCCACACTTCTGCAATAGTGGTGTGAGCAGTCCGCTGTTGTCTCTGCATCTGTTCTCAGTGCTTCTGGCGGTATTCCATCTGGTCCTGCTGCTTTCCCGCATTTCAGTAGCTTTATGGCGTTCAGGACTTCCATTTTCGTTGGGGGATTATGTTCACTTGTAATTCAGCGGCTGAGGTGGTATTTCTGGACGAAGTGCAGGTGGTGGTCGATTCAAGAGCTTCTTGAAGTGGTCGGCCCATCGTTTCCTGTTTCTCTTCTTTTGTAATTAAATTTCCTTCTTCATCTTTTATTGGTTTCATCTGTGTTGGTCTCTTCCCTGATAGCAACCTGGTTATTTGATACAATGTCGTCAGGTCTCTCTTACCTGCAGCCTGTTCTGCTTCACTTGCCAGTGTTCGTAGAAGTGTCTTTTGTCTTTGCGTGCACTCTTCTTCACTTCTTTTCCAGTGTTTTATACATTGTGCTCAGTTCCTCTTGTCGTTGAGCATCCTTGCACTGGTTTATCTTCTGCTTCACCATCCTCCTCTCCTCTATCAGCTTCCAGGTATCCGTCGAGATCCATTCCTTGTCTTCTTTCTTCTTCCTTCCTAATACTGTTGTGCAGGTTTCTTTCCACATAGCTTTCAAAGACTTCCAGTGTTCTTCCACACAGGTTTCTTCAGGGATGTCCTCGATGTCTCCCATTTTGTCTTGATGGCTGCTTGAAGATCTCCTTTGTAGTTTCATCCTTCAGTTTCCGAGTGTTGTACTTGAATTGAGGTCTATCACCAGCTTCCTTGAAGGCTTTTAACTTGATTTGGAAGGTTCCTTGCACTAGATAGTGGTCTGAACCTACATCTGCTCCTCTTCTTGACCTTGTGTTAAGTAGACTGCGTCTCCATTTTCTTGAGATTGAGATAAAGTCGATTTGTTTTTAGTGTGTCCATCTGGTGAATCCATGTCGCTTTGTGGATATCTTTGTGCCTGAACACACTGCCTCCAATCACCAAATCGTTGAATGCACAGAATTCTGCAAACAATTCTCCATTCTCATTCATTTCCCTAGCGCCTCTCGACCCATGGTTAGTTCTCTTCCGTGTTGTCCCCTCCCAGTTTGGCATTCATGTCGCCATTAGAATTTTGATATCGCCAACTGACGTCTTGTCCAGTGTTGATTGAGTTGTCTGTAGAATCCTCCTTTTTCTCTTGCTCTGCATTATTTGTAGGTGCATACATTGTATGATTGTGACCTTTCTTCCTTTTGAGTTGAATCTTGCTGTCATGATCCTGGAGGAGATTGGTTCCCACTGCATGAGCCTTCGATGCTCTTGAGGACATCATGATAGCCACTCCCTCAGTGTGCTCGTGGTTGGCGTCTGGGTGACGAGTAGATTATTGATTCTCCAGTTGACAGTTTGGAGAGTCCACTCCCATTCCATCTGCTTTCGCAAATCCCAAGCACTTCGATGTTATACCTTCTCATCTCCTTTGCAATCTGGGCTGCCTACTGGGTTCAAACATCGTGCGGACATTCCATGTCCCCACGTTTACTTTCGCTTTCATCGAGAGAAGACACATCGGCCAATTGGCTTCCCGAAGGCTTTCACCAACTGGCGTCATTTCGCCTCTCCGATTCCAGCGGGGAATAAGTTTGTTTTCATTTTTTATATTTTGTTTGTGCTTTGAAGTTTCTTTAGCGGTTAGATTTGTTTTACGGGGTAGGGTTGCTAGCCCTATGCCCAACCTTCCCTCTTTACCCGGGCTTAGACCGGCTAGTAACTAGTAAAAGTTAACAGCTAAGTATTTAACGGAAAATGACAATTCTCTTCCCGAAGCCGGAAATAATATTCAGTTGGCTGTAGGAACAACGATAAAGACAGTTTATTGTGTAAGGCCCCAGTTTTGCATAAAACATTGTTATTGATCTGAACATTTTTAACTTGTCATTTCCACACCATTTTGATAACATGACTAGTAGTTTATTTTCTGCCCCCATTGTAATGTAATACTTACTCTTACCATGTCAATGTCTCAAACTGAGGACAAGGTCATATTTCATGTGTATACATATTCACGTGTTTTTGAATTAATTGATGATTACTGTCTGAGGAGTGAACTCTCCTATCCAGCTTTGGTCTTTTCTCTATTCGTCCCGGGTTGCAGTGGGTGGCTCTCGTGTACGAAGTTAGCTGTCAGTTAAGCGTGCGTATTATATCCGTTCGGAATATATAACAGTTTGTAACCCACATTTCAGGGTTAGCGAAATTCAGTGAATTACTGAACTGAACGATACAAGAATATCCATCCGTCCGAACCGGCTCGCATCATGATGAAGAGCGTAAGCAACTCACACGTAAACTGATCGGGATTCTTCGCAATCACCACGATCTGTGGTGGGTTTAGAAAGCGAGGGAGATAGGGAAGGCGTCAGCATTGCGTAATGCTTGGTGGTTATTTAGCCTTTACTGAGGAAACTGGTAAGAACGAGACGATGGTCAGTGAAATCATCGCTGATGACTTCTAAGGACACATGGCCAGAACATTGGGTTGAACACTTTCAAGCTCAGTTCAACCGACTTACAGCAACAATCTAGTTGCCCAACATCCAATCCAAAGCTAAATGTTGGTTCTCCATCTTTTCTTGAAGTTAAGAGGTCTGTTTCAAACCTAAAGAGACAAAGCAGTAAGATGTGATGACCTATCACCAGACGTTTCTAATGAGAGGTGGAAAATCACTCAGTAGAGAAACCGAGACTATAGCTAGATGTATCAGAATCACAGGTAGCCCTTCCAGACTGATGATGATCGCTGGTCATTCCGGTTTACAGTTTACAAGAGAGGAAATCTGTGTGTGACAATTACAGGGAAGATCAGTTGGACCAACATCATATCGAAAATCCCGGGATCCATAGCTATTCGACACCTACATAGAAGAGGATAACAACAAACTTGAGAAAACCAAACACGTTTTGCACATGGACAAGAGTGCATCGATAAGGTCTTCACCCTTATGGAACACGGTTATATTTATTGATGCCTGACACTCAGCATATCTTTTGACCTGAAGGCGACATGCGAATTTGTCGACCGAGAGAGATAGTGGCAGCGTCTGACTGTGAAGGGAGTACCGAATAAGTATACAACGCCAAACAAACTTCTCTAATCAAACTCACACAACCATGCTAGGGCTTATAGAGTGCTATCCTCGAGAGTAACGACACCCAGTGGTAATCACAAAGGAAGTTTGCTATCCTCATTCCCGTCTACACATGCGCCGACGGATATTACCTTATATATCTCCGACTTCTTAATGATTGCTTTATTGTCTGCGAATACGTTGACAAGATTTTTCTGATAGATGAAGCTGACAAAATGAAGTCTTTTGAAAACCGTGAGCAGAAATCTGAGTATCCCTGGCAAGCGTTTCATACCTGGCAAATGTAAGACGTTGGTCAACTTCTTTCTTAAAGGTAGAGAGTGAATTGGTTGAATGTGTTAGCCAATTGGTTTACTTGGAAAGTTATGTCACTTCAAATGAAATGGTTTGTGGCGAAATCTCAGTCCGGATACAGATGGCCTATTTGGCATTTACCAAGCTACATCATCTCTCTCTCTAACGAGATATCCGATTACTTATTAGAAGTCCAGTACCTTGCGCTGCAGGATGTGGCAAATGGCTGTTAAAAAAAGATTTGAAGAGGTTCGACAGACAAAATACCGAAGTCCACTCAGTAACCTTGTGCATGTACGCACAGTAGGTAATGAGTCACACCTATTGTTTGAGGCCTAATGACACTATGTGGTTGTTCAAACCTCGGAAGGTGGGGTCGGATTCGAACCCGTGACCCATTGGTTGGAGCGCGAATGTCTAGACAAATGAGCTACAACTTCACACAAAAAAGTTACACGTTTTTATCGCAAGTGCCTGTGTAGTATTGCTATGGAGTCACTGTGTGAGCGATGTCAGGGTTAAGAGTAAGATATCGGACAAGAAAATAAGTCTGCTAATCAAGTCGTCAACCTTCAGAGAATGAGGTGATGTGGACACGTTTTGCGCACGTCAAGCCACATACTTTGATGTGCGATGTTAGTTAAAGTAGAATTAAGTTGGAAGAAGACCAAAGGTGGTCAGACCAAGGATTGGTGCTCGTATATGATATCTTTGCCTGTTAGTTTGAGCCGTGTAGGGAGATGACGATTGTCTGTTTGGAGTGTGCGACGTAATAGGAAAGTATGGTTGAAGACCCTCAATGACAAGGTTAAAAATCGGCCACAATGGTGTAATTGCATGGACTGTTCGATAAAATTGGAGTTTTGAACATTCTCAATAACCTTGATCCACTTCTTTTATCTCCTCTTACATACTTTTTCAACTCAAGATCACCCTTTTTGCATCCGTTCGTTCACTGCATCCTGCTGTAAAGTGTAGCAACTTTTATCAATACACTCATGCTCCAATTTCTATGTTGGTTTTTCCGTCTGTCTGATGCATGACATGAGCTGGCGTCGATGTTAGATTAAATTAAAAATCAGTGGAATAATAATATCAGTTTTCAACAATCCTTCAGTTGACAAACATCAATGACTTTCTGAGTGGGACATTAATTTTGAATCTACAATAGTTGCTGTGATGATATTTAACATGACCCGAAAACATGTAGTTTGTAATCTTCCACAGATTGCCATAACTTTTGGGAAAATGGTAGTTCCACACTTATGACTAAAAATGACTTTTTAAAAAATGCTATTTGCATACATACTCTTGAAGATCGGTCTTTTTTTTTCCTATTTCACTATATGAAGTTAACAAAAGAACGAGGTAACAAGACTAAACCATTTCACTCCCGATTTTATGCATTTAATTTGTTGCCCTATTTCTTTTAAAGTTTTACTTTGAAAAGAATTTTGTCTTTTGACATCTTCTATATGAGAATTAGTATTCACACAATAAATTTTCAATGAGATTGAAGATACTTATATGTTAGATAGTTGCAAAACTTATCATATGAACGCTTATTACAGTATATATTTATTGCTACAAATGAATGGTCAATTAGCAGTGTTTTCTAGTATCATCCAATCAGTAAGTTACACATTCTTTGTTTTTTTACAAAAGTCCTTAAGATGTACATCAAGCAATGGAAAGCTTAATATTAAAATTGAATTGACGTACATAAGTCATCTGACTGTTATGAATTTCAACAAGATGCATGTGAAAATTTAAGGTGTACTTTTAATCACCATTCAGAGAATGAAGTCCTATAAAATTCTCATGAACTAGACTAGATTTCTCTGTTGTGTCAAGTTTTTTTTATAAACCTTATGGTGTTTTTCCTTTCAATTAAGTATACTGAGTGTTTAAATTTGCATACTAAGAAAACTATTAACCAAAACTAATTATCTTTAAGTTTATTCCTCATCCCTACTTTCTTAAAAGATTCAGTAAGTGATGAATATCAAGAGTTTAGATGTCCAATACATATAGAACACTATAACTAAGATATTTAATTTTTCCAAGGATGTCTGTTTCGGTAGTATCTCGATTTAAAGTAAATAAATCATTAAAATATCCCTGCTTAAATAGTTCGCTTGAGATGAGCTTTCTATTCCATATATCAGTAGAAAAAGCAATTGTATACACACAAACACATGAATGGTAAGTGAAGCTTGATGACCACATTCACTCTCTGTATGAGGACTGTAATACTACTTAGTTGATTGAACATCTGTAGGTGGAGAGTTAACTGGATGGCTAAACGTCGAGTGTTTAATTCAATGAATCAAAACTTCATGAACTGTGAGACTCATAGAAAAAGATCCTGATGCTGTAATTAAAGTATCAATGTTTCCATTAATGTAATTGGTTGTTAACAAAGAAAAAAAACTTAGTTAAATATCTATTACTTTGACAACACCTATACATATCAATTTACTGAACTCTACCAAAATATACCCAAAGTAATTTTCCACATGATTTTCTCCTATCAAGATTTGTGTAAATAAGAAACAGCTTCCATGTGAACAATAAAGTCTTGATACATGATCTATACATACCGTAAATAGCACAATTATCAATTCATAACTCTTGTCAGATAGTTTCAAGTCTTAAACTAAACAAGAGTTTATCACATAGGTTTTTTAAAATTCGTTAGCAGATCTAGAAAGAGTGACTTTAAAGGCCACGCTAGCGACCGCTGAAATAACCAATCAGATCTCGGAATTTCGGCTGGGGAGGAATTATTTCATGGAATGGAGGAAAGTTACTTTCCTCTATTTCGCGAGAAACTGCCTTTCTAACGCGAGTACCGTAACCTGATTGGTTATCTCAGCGGTTGCTAGGGTGGCCTTTGAAATTACTTCTGTGAGTGATAGGCGATTTTAAAGACCACTCCAACAATTGCTGAAATAACCAATGAGGTTACGGTACTCCCGTTAGGAAGGCAGTTTCATGCGAAATGGAGGAAAGTAGCTGGTTATCTCAGCACTTGCTAGGGTGACCTCTGAAGTCACCACTCGTGAGACAGGTGGAGTCGAACTCACCTATCATCATTGACTTTGGGCTTGATCATTGTGCTTATTATTTACAAAAGATTGTTCCCATATCGATTATACGCTGGAACTTTAATTCACTTAATCCTTCAAAATATGGAGTTTTCTCAATTCGTTCTCTTACAGAATAAAAACTATGACGCAACACACAGTAAGGTTACTTGAAATAAAATTTTTAAATGAATAAGTTAGATTTTTGTGTAATTCTCTTTGGTTAAGTATATTCATTAAAATAAGCAATCAGATCAATCAATAGATAATGAGACAATGAAATGCTGAAAATCAATTTTCGTTCTGTTTATACCACGAATAGATATGGTTGTGCACATAAATAGATGGATAATATGAACCTCAGGCTTCATAAGTGTACACAACACCCAGGCATATATATATCACTACACAGACAGCTACATCTTATCACAACTAACCATAGGGCTGCTACTGGCATACCTAGTGACTAATAATTTTGACTGAATTAAAACGTTTAGGAAATGATGACTGGAAATAGAAACATCTAGAAACTTACTAAATTATTTTTAGTTTTTGCCACGTTTGGATCATCTGGTCCAAGATCATGCATGTATATTTCTAAAGCACGTTGATAATATAACTCCACCTAAGAATAACGACAATACCAATAGTATTGATTAAAGCTGGATACAATAAGTGATATATCATGCAAACCATTAGGTATACAAGAAAATATCTTTGCTATAATTCAGCCTTAATTATTACATAGAAAAAATAAATGAATAGAATGTTAGTAGTGGTGTATCACAGGACATGATTACAATGAAAGTGCTCAGTAGTCAAATATACTTTGGCTTGTCAGATGGTTAGACGCAATCGGCAGCAAGCCCTCAACTTAGGTTTCCTGTTTGTTGACACTCATCAGTAAGGTGTGTCGGCAAACTCAAAGGAACTGACATCCTGTCTAAGATTCGAGTCCACGTCGTGCAATGTTGCAGTTAGTAACGTTACCACTGAGCTATTCAGGTCACGATTGACCTTCTGTAGGACTAGATTAGGTATATTGATTGGTCAGTGAAGAGCAGCCAATATGGTGGTCACATTGCAAAATAATCGATGGAATTCGATCAGCTCTCAAGAACAGATGACAGGAAATTAGGTGCTCTCCAGTGACCAATCAATGTACCTAATCCAGTCCTACAGGAGACCACTCGCAGCCTGAACAGTCCAGTGATAACGTCGCTGACTGCAACAATGGTTGGTGAGGGTTCGAATCTCAGAGAGGACATCACTTCCCTCGAGTTTGGAGACATGTCTTACTACTGAGTGTCGACAAACAGGAAACCTAGGCAGAATGCTTCTTGATGATTGCCTCCAGCCAATATATATATATATATATATATATATATATATATATATATATTGCGAGTTGAAAAAGGTTGGGAACTGTGAACCATTGAACTTCGGCCCAGTGGCTGAATGGTTAACGCCTTCGTTGTGAGATTCGAAGGTCCTAAGTTCGACCCCTGGCCGGGTTGTGGGTGTGTACTGGCTGAGAAGCGTCATACTAGGACAAAACAGTTATCCAGTGCTTCCAGGTTTCCGGCAGTTCTCTAAATGACTTCAGTCTGTGATGAATACTACCTAGGAATTAGAATATGCACTAACCCCAAAATCCATTACTTGTCATTCTTTAAGACGGTTTCTTCCCCCCTCTCTAGCATTAGAGATAATATTACACACTTTGATGATACAATTCTTAAAGTTCCTTTGCACATCTTAATAGCCAAGGAACATAAATCAACAGTTAAATATTGTCTTAAAATTAAGAAGTATGTCAAGTGTAACCTATGAAAACATCTATTAAACAGAAAACTCGATCAACATTCTTGTCTCTGAGTCTGAATAGTCATTATTTAACCTTAACTTTTGGTTGCGATATTAAACAGAGACATCAACTAAATGGTGACAGTGAGATTCTGTTAATCACTGCTAGAGTTAATACACACAACTGCCAACTTGTTCTGACATACATTAATTTCCACAAAAGTAGTGAACACATTGAATTCACGCATTTTTAATGCATAAAGGAAAAGTGATACCGAAAAAAAACTTGGCTCACCTCTTCATATTTCCCTTGATTTTGGCACAGCAAAGCTAAATTATTTAGTTGTTTTGCAACATCTGGATGGTCCTGTCCTAAAACCTGAAAAGATATGCATAAAAATTAATTTTTGATATCATCTTTGATCTATGGAAACTCAAGCGGTAGTGCCATTTTAATTAACCAGTGAATGGATGTGCGTAATGATTAAGTGTTAGGAACCTCGTCAAGAATGATTATAATGCTGCGTGAATTTTTTCTATTCTCAATGAATTCACAACATCAACGAAATTTAATCTGACAAAAGTTAATGAAGTTGTAACAGAAATCTAATCTAGAAAAGTAACAGGTAGTACTTATTTACTTATTCGCGGTTAGATAATTCAGAAACACCAACTACGTTGACTGCAGTATTAATTAATATGTGAAAGTTAAAAATAATCCTCTGCTTAGCTTCGATCATTGAATGTGTCAAATTGTAATAATTAAAACAAATGCTCCCATGATAACCGCAGATGAATTGGTTTGATTAACGAGATTCATAAAATCATATTATTGTCGATCTAGTGGAAACCTGTGAAAGATAAAGTTCACAAGGGCGGACAAGTTTCATATTAGGTTGACTGAACTTTTGACCTCAACTGAGTTAAAGAATACACGCATAATGGTAATAATGAATTGCATTTTTCATGGTGTTTTGAGCTTTCTCCAGGAAGAAGTATCACGTAAGCCAGGTTATCCTAATAGATTTGCTTCCCAGAAGCCATCTGGTTCTTTTCAGATAAACACATGTCACATTACGGTGTTAACAATAGATATAAAGTTACCCGAACAACCTAAAAGCAAATAAGAAAACGAATGCCAAGCTTCCTGAACTTGTGAGATGAAGTTACAAAAGTGAACAACACTGACAACCATTTTAGTGACAGAGAATGAGGACGTTGAATGCTGTGAGTAATCCACTCTCTCTTGCTTTCATTTACGTTTGGAGTTTAAAGTATCAGTTCTAAATATGATCCACTCCTTTCAAGATTTTGCACTACCCAATCTATTCGTTACTGGATAAAAGGGATCAAACATTTTCAGCATATTAAAGTGCAAAACAACCGAATACATGATTTTTCCCAACCGGTAGCTGCTACCTTGATGTAGTAGTCAGGCTAGCATAGAACAGTCACTCGAGTTATGTTGGTGAAATGCTTGCTCTCTCAAGGTACTATCACACCAAAAACATTATTTGGACAGTGGTAAGACAAAAATATTTGCCGTCATAGTGTAAATCTTTACACTAAGATGCGTGTCCGAGGGAAAAGTTGTACTGCTGAGTGAATAGGAGTGTGACAGTGATAGTGGTAAGGCATTTCCAGCAGACGATCAGCAGTATCACACTAGTGCTGCCTTCCCTATGAGAAAAAGAGAGTCGGTCATGCAAATAACAAACCCCACTATCCAACAGTACATGGGTTCATAGTACGACTCGACATCTGAAAAAGTCATGTCTAACCGGCCTCAAATAGATATCTCCTGGGTTCTGCAGTCACTCATTAACCCTTCTTTTCCAGATATCTTAAGAAGAAATAGCCTCTGTGGTGTGGGCAGCCGGGAAGTGTCTACAACCCTTACAACTCTGTCGGCACTCAGTATCTTTCAGATCAGTGGTCACCTTCCAGATCCCCAACTTCTAACCTTTCTTTATGTCAGTCGGTTAATAACCCTACACCATCTTTAGTTTCTTCCAGCTACGCAGCTCTTGATAACAATCTCAGTTCATGGAAGAATATTCCTGGCCTCATGAAGCCATGCACCAAAGTACACAGTAGGCCATTCAACGTCCGCACCCTACGTCAAATCGAACAATAAGCTTCGCTAGCAGAAACTCTAGCAACTTGGGACATGTATGTGTGCTGTGTTTGTGAGGCACCCGCACATGACCCAAGTGCAGTTATTTCCTTAACTTTACCCGGCTAATATGGTGAATCCACCAAATTCACCGTAACAGTTTTTGGAGATTCGATAGCTAGCTCTCGTGGCTTTGCAGGTGTGGACATAGCATTAAGTGCTACGGCAGAAAGTGCACTACTAGACTGGATCCCAGTTGACAGTAGCCTACACGCTATTGATTGAACCAAAGTGAGGACTTAGAAGAATGGTGAAACTCGCCATCCTCAGTAGACCACTGTGAATATAGCCCTGTAGGTTCCAAGCAAAAAACAAGAGCAACTCAAATGTAGAATAACAAAAAGTCTACACCATGAGCACGAAGAGTGAAGACCAGGAAAACTGAAAAGTCAACAGCGATAGAAAAAACAGACAGTTATTCATAATTATAAAGAAAATTTATGCAAAACGTCAACGATTAGTTACGCTGTCGCGGAGTACTATACGTCTGCGACTGACCCGCTGAGAAGACTGGAACGACTGGCGGAACACTCCAAGGAACAGTTCAACAGGTCTCTAGCTACTATTCTGTTGCCCGTTATGCAGTCCGATTCTCAACGAAATATTAAGATAAGGCCATCAACACTTGAGGAAGTCTGGAAAGCTGTAAGTAATCTGAAACAAGGAAGGAGACAGCAGGGCTAGACAACCCAGTACCAGAAACCAGGGGTTAGAGACTCTGGGTAGTTAGTCGGAGATCCCATTCGTCGACTACCTTTATCTTAGTCATAGTGAATTCAGTATTTCATGTTCCTATCTCTTCTTACTACTTTCGGTTGCTTTCTTCATTTCTTTATCCTTCATCCTAGTACTTTTTCGCTTGGTGTGGTAACTTGGACTGTTAAGCAATAACACCAGGTCTTTCCTCCCTTATGATTTTTTACTTCAGGTACTATAAGATCAGAAACGTCTGTTGGAAAGTGGTAAGACAAAAAGCAGTTACCGTTATGGTGCAAATAGCTTACACTATGGTGAGGATACGAAGGTAAAGTGGACTGGATGCAACATCAGTACGGGGTTTTCGGCGGATGACCGGTAGTCTACGCTTATGCTGCTTTGCCTATGGGAAGGAGAGTTACAAAAGATAGGCTCGAAGAAATAGTAGTTCTTTCTGCCCTGCGGTATTCCGATGCCGGTACTATGATCAGATGATGACGTGACATCAGTCCATGAAGTCTTCGACTGTACGTCAGAGCTGTGTAAGGAGGTGCAGGCTGCCAGGCTGATGTCCTGGAGAGAATAGGATTCAATAGTTTCAGAACTTGTGATACAGCACAACATCGGTCACAATGAGGGAAAACTTGGAAGTCTTGAGTACTTTTATTAAACGTATATTCTTCTCTTACCCTCTCATACATTTTTGTTTACATTAATATAACGTTTTCGATCCACTTCCTCCTTGCACACTGCTGTGAAGTGTGGCAACTCGAACCAATACAACTGCCTGCCAGGTGCTAAGTTTATTTGTCTGTCTGTCGTGAACTTTACTAAATGTGTGAGGGCTTCTGCTAGTATTATTCAGTTGCATAGATCGAAGTAAGTGGAGAGTGATTCGAAACCAGGATTCATAGCCTAAAAATCAAGGGCTTCAGTCGATGAATATTTCCTCCAGAATATCCCAATGAAAAATAACGCCTCTTCCATCAAACGACATCATTTGTCATAGAAAAATTAATATATAAATAGGAACAGTACTAGTAGACACCAGATCCAAACAACTTGAAATCAAATCCCCCGACGACTCCCCAATCATCAAAATACTCAAGTAACATATAGGATAATAACCGGATCCATAATAAGATCAAAATGATGTGCCTCGACGAACATGTACAACTGGCCAATTAGACACACCTATTTTGAGGGTTAATGATACCACCTGGTCGCCCAATCCTTGATAAGTGAAGTCGGACTCAGGTTCGTTACTCACTACTGATTAAAAGTCGACCGCCAAATCGGAAAGACACTGAAATCTGCAGTTACTGTTAGACAGAAATGTAACGGCAAATGATATAGAGTATGTCAGAGCTTGGGTTCGGTTCATGCATCTAAGTTTGAGGCTACCAACCCCGAGCTTGGGGTGTGGCTCGCTACTTAGTCTAAACGATAACTGGTAGAGGAATACTAGTAAAAATTTCAGTAAGTGGAAAAAAAATCAGCTTAAGGATATATATATATATATATATATATATATATATATATATATATATATATATTTCGAGAATAAACTTACAGTTTCCCTTATCAGTAAAGCTCTTTTACACAGAGGTTCGGCTTCCTTATATTTTCCACGTTTACCATAAAGCACGGCCAAATTGTTCAAAGTCGCAGCTACCTAAAAGATACCTGTCAAGACTAAAATATGGAAAATACAGCAGGATGATCAGGGCCCAGTGTCTTTTCTCGAATAGTCAGGGCATCGTTTAACAATGTTGCAGCTTCCCTATATTTACCTTGATCACTAGATGAAAAGTAAAATCTCAACAATAATATTTACCGATAAACAAGTGCTAAAATATTTAGCATTGTTGCAACATCTGGATGATCGCGTCCACTGGTCTTCTCCAGATCTTCCAAAGCCTGTTTGCACAGTGGAACTGCAACCTCGTATCGGCCCTCACTAGCATACTGTATGACCAAATTGTGAAGAGTTCGCAAACGCGTTGGGATCTCATAATAATGAACACCTTGGGACATAGATACTGTCTGACTTTGTGTCATTCCTGAAATAAAAAAAACAGCAACATGAAACAGGAACCGGCCACACAAATATACGTGCATACAAATGTACTGCATAAGCAATTTGTCATAAATCAGGTAATATCAATGCAGAACCTAGTATTAATATTGTATAACGGCATCGTTTGCCATGACTAATATCAGAACTTCACAGTGGAAGGCACTAAGTTGAAAGGTAGACAAGTAGGGCAGAAATTAGTTAAAAGTCCCAACCAACCGTGAATAAGAGCAGCAAGAAAAAAACAATCACGAAATTTGGAATCACAATTAGGATGAGGACAGTCAGTAGATGCATCGCCAACTTACCATCCAGAGTTTCCAACCACTGGTTTACGGCGTCTTGCGGACACCACAACCGAGAAGTCTAAAGTTCCTTACATGACTCAGACCAACAATTAAAGACTTCAAGAACTGATGCCAAGTTCCAGTCTAGTCACCTCTAATTCTTTTCCAACCTAAACCTACTCATACCAACACTGCACATCAAGATAGACGATGACTAAACATGTTTAACACATGTCCTAGCTACCTCAATCAATGGAGGTTCACAAACTAGTCAATTGATTTTCTTCCTCGCCCTAAACCTCTACGCCTGACTTCCAAGTTACTAACGTGGTGACAACATAGCACACTGCTTATGGTGCGAAGGCAACGATAGTCAAATGCCTGAAGCCTTGTCATATCTTCTGCCTTTATTACCCATGCTTCACGCCCATCTAGTACAATAGAAAGAGCTACAGCTCAGAACACCCGGCCCATAATAAGGAGTCGGATAGCACGGCGGTACCATGAATGGCATAATTTGGTGAAAGCCAAGCGAGCTTTTGTATCCTTATAAAGGTTTTGTCGGTCAGTGACCCATCAGGACTGATCTGGCTTCCTTGGTGAGTTGCCAACACGCTCAACCAGGTCGCTCCCTATCGCTAGACAAGGCACCAGAGGAGACCAGTCTTAGAGCAGCTGCCTTCATTTTGGTGGTGAAAAACATCCCAAGCATTTTCAAATTGCCACCCAAAGTATCCGAAAGGCTGTATCTTTTCAGCCTCTTCGCCTGACAAGATGATGTCATCTGCGTATTCAAGATTTATTAAAAAGTCACTGAAGACAAAAACAATCCGTGCAAAGTCAAACGATGATACGGAGACCTGCACAAGTATGTCCATGATAAAATCAAATAGGAACGGAGGGTGGACATCCTCGACGGATACGACACGATGCGCACAACCCCCACTCGATAACTCACTATAGGCTGTGACACCTCCAATGGTGTTCAGGTAAAAAGCCCTTAAGTGAATGATGTACTAACCCGGCACACGTTTCAGTTAGAGACATAGAAATAAGATCTTGCGATTGATGGGAATCAGTACCACCTTTATGTCAAAATAAGGCTAGTGTCTGGCACTGGTGTGTTCGTGTTGCAGAAGATAGAGAGTGGATATCTAAGCGATACACCGATGACCAGGTCTGAAACATGCCCGGCATAAATGAGTTTGTTGCTCCTGAGCTCCACTTAGACGAGGAATAATAACAGAACCTGGAGTGATAAACAGTGTTTGTTAGGTTGATTTCTCTGTGGTTATCACAATATGACGTCCCCTTCCTTGAAGATTAGGTCAGTCGGTGATTAAGACCGGCAAGAAGGGATTATACCTGACTCGCACACACCAGCCAACGCTTCAGAAAATTAGTCTGACCAATAATCTCTAAATACTTCTAGTTTTAAGCCATCTGACTCCCCTGCCCCCTTCCTTGTTTCAGATTACTTACAGCTTTCCAGACTTCCTCAAGTGATGGTGGCCGTATCTGAATATTTCATTGAGAAGCGGATTGCATAACTGGCAGAGGAATAGTAGCTGGTTAACTGAAAGTGCCAAAATCAACGCAGAACCTCGCACACAAGTGCATCGCCTCAAGTTGCCACACTTCACGGCAGTAAACAAAGAACAGGTGGATTGAAAACGAAATATCAAAGTAGACAAAGAAATGTGAGCGAATAAAATATCAGAAGATAAAGGTTAGTGCGAATATCCAAGCTTCGGAGGATGTTAAAGAGTGAGTACATCTACACCACTGTGACCGATTTTCAGACATGTCAGCAGCAGTCGTCAACAACTGATTCCTTTCGTCTCGACGACCCCAACCAGACAGTCTACATCGTCCCACACGACTCAAACCAAGAGTAAGAGACTTAATCGACCAGCGCCACATTTTGCTCTTGTCACCCTGGACCCCATTCCAACCTAATCCACCTTCTCCTATTATGCCACGTCAAGGTAGGTGGTGGCTCGGCATGCGCCGTACATGTCCAAGTCATCTCAGTCGATGAAGGTTCACAATCCCATCAATCGATTTGAATGTCTCGCCTAATACCCTTCGCCTGATCTCAACATTTCTCAAATAGTGACTCCATAAAATGAGAACAATGCTACGAAGACACCTATGTTCAAAACCCTGCAACCGCTTCATGTGTTCTACTTTCAACAGCCATATCAGCCGTACGACAGGACACAATGGACTGCAGCGCAATATACTCGTCCTTTGATAGATGGTCGGATATCTTGCCAGTTGGCGCCACGGATGACGCAAGTTGGCAAATGCCAAACAGACCTTCCGTATCCGAGCTGAGATTTCTTCAGGAACTAACCCATCTGGGCTGATGCAACTCCCCAAGTAAGTAAAGTGGTCAAGATATCCCACCAATTCTCTTCTTATCATTACACTGGCATTACTTGCAGCGGACCAGTCCTAGAGCATCATCTTGCATCTGACAGGTGCAAGCGAAACGCATGCCAAACCCAGATTTCTGCTCAACGGGTTCACGAGACACTACATTTTATCAGCGTCTCTACGTAGCAGGACAATATCATCTGAATACTGCAAGTCAACCAGATGACCTCTAAGGATTATATCAATCCCTGTGAAGTCCGACGTACCTAAGGATATGTCCCTTAGTACATCCATGACGAAGTTAAATAGGAACGGTGACAGTGGATGTCCTGGCGGACACTTGTCGTCAATTCACATGACAACCCTCGATAAGCCCTTACACGGCTGCGTGAGTTCGAATAGAGAGCTTTGATTAGCGTTATATACTTGTTTAGTACTCTCTTCACAGTCAGACACTGCCACAATACCTCATGGTCGACTGAGCTAAATGTCGCCTTCGGGTCTAAAAACATAGCAAGTGTTGGCCGTTAGTAAGTATTTCTGTGTTCCAGAAAATGTCGGAGGGTGAAAATATGATTGGTGCACCCTGGACTAGGTCTCAAAAATACCTAGTTTTCTCTAGTTTGCTATTCTCGAGCTCCAGTTAGGTGTCGCATAACTATGGACCCTAGGATCTTAATCAAACTAATTCCCATATGGTTGCCACGAGGACTTCTCTCCCTTCTTATAAACCGGGATGATCAGTGAAGTACACTAGTCTGACGGCACAACCTCTGATTCCCATACACACTACCTAATACCTCCATTATTCTTATCAGCAATTTCCTATGACCATCATTGAAAACTATGGGTGGCAGACTGTCAGGTCCTTCTCCTTTGCATCGTTTAAGGTTCGATACAGCTTTCTCAACCTCAGGGAGAGTTGGAGGACCGACATTTACGTCCCATTCAGGTTCGCGCTGGTTGCATGATGGGAAACTGAAGCGCTTCTGTGGGCCAGTTGAACTGTGCTTCATAAAGTTCTGCCCAATGTTCTAGCCGCCTGTGGTGGGAAGTTATTAGTGTACCATCCTTTTCGGTGATGGCTTTACCAGCCACTGTCTTCTTCCTGCTGGTATCTTTAATAAACCTGATAGTTGCAGTGTTATCCAAAGCTAATGGCTTTTCCATTTCGCTCGCTTTCGAAACCCACCATTGTTTGCGATCGATGCGAAGACTTATTCAATTTATTTTCAAGTCGCTTTGGCTCTGCATCGTGGTCAGAGTAAGGTGAAATTATTCTTCTCTCATTCCTTTCTGGTTGGCTGTTTTCCTACTTCAGCGTCAGTCACCTATCACTAGGACTACATCAGAATGTTCTGCTTTCTGAAGCAAAATTGATAGCGTCACATAGAATTCGTCTTTTGCATCACCTGAACTGCAGAGATTATGAATAGGCATCGGTTGGTCTCACGATTCTTCCTAGCTCTTACAGGTCCATTCAGTCAAACAGCACATAGACGGCTGTTGACTGGCACCCAGTCAAGACCCAAAGTTATGCCTACACTAGGGACTCCATGGCTAGAGATTCCAAAGTTTTGGTTTTGCTCGCCTTCTCCCCAGTGGGTGAATTGCAGACGTGTTACTTCTCTACAGAGTAACTAACTATTGACGCTTTGTACAAATTTCATTGATAAATCTAAATACATGATTCAGCCTCTACTGACTCCAACCGCTAAATATGAAGTTACAGCAAGCGCAATTTACTACGAATACCTAGACCCATTGAATGAGTAAGGAAATTTGAGCCTAGATAGGTATGATGGACCTTTTTGGAATTTCAGTCACACTATCATCTGTTTATTTGCCACGCATGGTGCTCTTGTACGCGAGAGAGCTAGGTTTGGATATGGGTTAGTACACTTCTGAATACGCTCTGCATTATCTTTGTTCTTAGAGCCGCCCAATGTACTTCACTATAAACACAACGAATATTTACATAATAATGTTTTTTAATTGGGGGCAAAATGTTTGATCCTGATCATATTGACAGTAATCCCAATAGATGGTGTGATGAAGTGCAACAGTTTTCATCGGGACTACCAAAATTACAAAGCTGACCGGTGTTTAAATATCCATCACAAACATATTTAAAATAAATAGATTCCCTTCAAAAAAAAAAGTTTTCATGGATATAGTGCAGCCATTTAAACTGAACAGTGCACCAGTAAACCCTTCTTAGAATGTTATTATCCAACTCCTCTGGAGTCCTGGAGTGACTGATCACCGACTGCCTTCCAAAAATTTAGTAGCATCTTCCTACTCTACAATCAAACGAATGCACCATATAACAATTCGATGTAGCAGACCGCTTTGTAGTCATTACATTTCAAAAGGTATTTAAGCTACAGGGGTGAGATGTTAGATGTAACTAGTTTTCAACCATTGAGTTTCTACTTCAGGCGAATCAGAAACAATTGATATAAGTTAGCTTGGAGTGAGAATACCTGAAACAATAAAAATATACGCCATGCTGCATCATAAGAAGTAACAGCCGAAAAGTCAAGTAATCAATCTAATACTATTAAACCAAAAGGGCAGGTTGGTAAAAACCACTCCCTACCCGACTGGGTGGTAAGGAAAACCAAAATGTGTAGCCCCAACTAGAGAGATAAACATTAAGCCAAGACAATACTTTTATTTATTGCTCACGAGTCGAGCGACTTTTGGTCATCAGAACACACCGTAATATATTCCATTTCTTAGAAAAAATAACACCTTGTCAAAACACCTAACACTCTGTTTATGGATGCACGGAAACGCTTCAATAAACCCTAAATATTAGACTTACCATACTGATCTCCCTCTTCTTTGTCGTCTGGAGGAAATCCAAGGTCTAGAGCCGCCTTACCATTGTTATCACCATCAGCTAACCCCAACGAATCTACGGGTTCTGAATCATATTTCCGTAACTCGCTGCTAAACTGAAGGTGCTTCACTTGCTCTTCAAGCTGAACAATAAGTAGTTCACTTTTTCGATGCGCATCTTGCGCCGCGGCAAGTTCATCTCGCAACCACGAGTTTTCTTGGAAAAGACGACGTCCCTGATACCGCAACTTCTGTTTCTCAGCTTCAACCTTTTGAAGGTAATCACAAACAAGAACCATAACCTTATATAATAACAGATTTCAAGCAGCAACTCACGTTGGCATCATCTAGACCCTTGCAAATTTCCTTTATAATAGAGTCCAAAGAAGTCCCTTTTTCCTTGGCATAAAATATCTCATATTCATCTGAGTCCTTAGAATTGGTAATCGAATCCAAGTCAGAAAGTATCTGTTGTTGCTCTGATTTTAAGGACTCAAGCACAAGTACAGTAGACTTTGTTTTACGTACAACTTCATCTAAGCACCAGAAGTCTAACGAGGATGACTTCCCAGAATTCATGTAAGCCCTTAAAATGTTATGAATAGAGAGCGAACAATAAAGCCAAACTGCTAACGGATGATACGAAATTCCGTAAGCGTACCGCTACCTTTGAAACTTGTAGGAGGAAATGAACATTTACACAATGTTCCATTCAAAATGGTTAAAATGGTTCAAATGGTTATTGTCGGAATTAAAGAAGATTTCGTTTAACTAGCTCTCATGTCCAGAATCCGTGGCTCACCATCTGCTGTGGTTGGTCACCAGGAAAACAGCGAGGAGAACAAATTATTGCAGTTAAAATGTGAAAATACAATCATTTCTGAGTACAGAGTTTAAACGGTCCGAATCTTGGTTGGTGGAATAAGAGAAGCGGTCGCTTAAGTGCCTTCCACCCTTAGAACCTGTGGATCACCACTTCTTGTGCTTTTAAACTTGCGTAAAATTAAAAAGACAGCAAGGTTAAAATGTGAAAATTCGGCTAGATGCGAGCAGGTCCTACCCACACCCGAAGTAAGTATCAAGCTAGTGTTTAAAGGATCCAGATACACGGTACGCACCACTCCTTCAAGAAGAGTAGTCCAGGGCTCAACAGCCCCTAGGGAATAGAAGTCGTATCTGATATTCAACCCGCCGTGTCAGAGGCTCAGTCCCTGTGTTTGTTCCCTAAGGCTGGTGCTACAACTTAAATTCACTAAGTGACAGAGTGGGTATTCAGCGGTGCTCGAGATTCCGTGGTACATTACCAGGTCTTCATTCAGTCCTTTATAGATGAGGCCCAACCAATCGTTCTTCATGTTTTGGAGCCAAGTCCTCGAAACAATTTGGACCATCACATCTGAATGCATTCTAAGTGTGAGCCTATCGCTGACTCCTAGGTTTTGAAGTTGGATCAAGTCATCCCCTAGAGAAACACTACTCCTTTCGCTCTGAGCTTCTTTCCGCAGTTTCGTGTCACCGGCAAAAAAACATTTCGGAAGGGGCCTGTTGAGGTAAGCCACTTATTTATATTGGTAACACAAGAGGCCATGGTAGTGAACACTGGGTGACTCCAGCAGGGCATTGTGTTTCTTCAGACGAAACAGCTACTCGGACTCAGCATAAACAACCCCGCATACTTGGGGACAGCCAGCCACAATTGGTGGTCCGATCCTGGTTTATTTTAGCTCATAAATTCAACAGTAGCGGTTAACACGATCAAACGCCTTGGAAAAATTCAGACTATTAGCGTCAATTCTACTTCATCAGTCCATCTGAAACAGAGTGTGTACCCTATGGAACGCTCTGTAGAAGGAAGTAGCTACAGCTACACCAGCACAAACAACTAGTCATGAATGCCCGGCGGTAGCAACTGAGGGCATGTTTACCTACCCCTGTGTCCCCCAACCCTAGCACCCCTATAAGATGCATCCCTTCTCCGTATTACTGCCGGCAGCACTTATTTTTCCACAGGCACTTTTCAGTTCCTTTTTTTCATCCCCCACTCACCCTATTTCTAGCACTTTTTAAATAGCGCCTGGTACTTGCTTTCGGGTGCTTGCCAAAACAGGTGTTGCAAAAGGTCAGTTGATCTTTTTAGCAGCCCCGTTGCCCTACAACCAAACCAAGCTACTATTTGTTAGAAAAATACCTTCAAACGCACAATCACTGCTTATAAAGCCATGAGCAGGGAAAACGTAAGGGCTTCTGCGACCACGGAAGGAGTTTAACCGAACAAAAGGATCAAGCTTCGAGACCTGGAAGCGACAGGCCAAAAACTATAAGTTTTCTCTACTCAAACTATGTACGTTGGGTGTTGTTGGGTTCATTTACTGCAGTGGACACATTAGCAGTACAGGAGTACCTTTTTCTGAATCAACACTGCTTGGGCGTAAAGTCTTTCACAATGAGGTGTTCCCTCATTCCGTCAGACAGGGTAGTCACCCGTTGAAAAAGCCTATTTTATTTCCTACAGTTAGATTTCTGGCTTTATCTGGCACGCTGCCACGGGCCAAGTGGTTACGCTACTGTCACTTCTGACAGTCGGCTTCAGAAGTCTGCTTGACAGCATTCGCTTGAGAGTCCTCGAAGAGCGCGCTGACACTGGGTGTGCTTCAGTGAAGGCTCTCTTCTGATCTTCATTTCCAGTAGGTCGGTTGCCCTTTAAGCGTGTACGAGTAGTAGTTTTCTCAGTATATGAAGGTGGAAATAAACGAATTGCCTCTAACAAGAGGTCTATCCTGCTGATTTCTTGAGTTCTTCAGTTGAAGAAGAAGGTAGCGGGTGACTTACTTCGAGGCTTCCTACCCTAGAAACTTAATTCTACCCGATGGTCAACGCACCTTTTCAGTTGTAAGATCACATAGCGACGGCCTGTTCCTGACGTGAAAAGGCTTGACTCTCTCCTTCTCCCTCTGCTGAACAGAAAAACCCCGGTCGTATGGGGATGCTTGACTTTCTAGAGCCTTTCACGAGGTTAATTATTGAAGTACTGAGTAGAAAACTCTACCTCGTAGGTATGCACAAAAAGTTATGCAGTTGATTCAGAGATCAACTGAACACTCCGTCGCCGTCGGTTAGGTTGTACCCCCCTCTCCTGTTTAATTGGTTCTGGATACTGCGTGCACCGCCTTAGGGTTCCGTTTTAGGTCTACTACTGTATCTTGCTTTCATAAATGGCCAACCAGTTGTTCTAACTTCCCATTTTCCGTTATGAGCTGAGGACCCGAAAACTTCTAGAGGAATGCCTGAGAGGACCGATGTCTCGGTGCCCTAGGAGGACCCCTACCAAACCACAGATGAGATGAGTGGAAGCAATCTCCCCCTCAACATCTGTAGCTTCAGATAATTATAGAGGACAAACATGGATGAAAGTAGACTTGAACTCAAGTCATTCTGAGAGGTGGGTGAAAAGAAACTAAGGGGGGTTATGATGCATAATAGTCTTTGATATCCTGATACCTTAGTGTAAGACAGTGGCAAGCAGTGAGAACTTTTTGGGCTCACAAAGTCTTTAATCCTCGTATGCGTCCAAATAAACAGGAGGTGAGAGCAAGACGCAAAACTGTAGCACATCTATGTTTTAAAAACTTCAAAGCACTATTGTAGTGGCAACCTACTGCCAAAGTATCATGAGCTGCGATGACTGACACGTCCGCTTTTGATGTCAATTGTTTATAGATTGCCACGTTGCCATAACTGTAACTTTCAGCTGCGAAATAAATTTATAACACACCAGTCCGTATTGTTTACGCATATCTGACACCTGTATACATTCGATAAACTTATGGAAAAGCAAGGTAGGCAGTGTGTACGGTTACATCCATGAAAAATGTGTACATTACGGGGGGAGCCAATTCGCTGCAAATATGTTGGTACAGCATTCGAAGCAAGGGTTTGGGCGATCATGCATATTTTGTCTGCTTGCTCAGAACAGTATGCAAAGGTGAGAAGTGATGGGAATTACTGTAAATCGTAGAATCAGCTTCACAGGGATAGACCGATAATCTTAGCGTGCTTTTAATTTCAAAATCTTGTAAGGTAATATCATAAATCCTGCACGCTCCACTTAGCAAAGATATATGTATGTATATATATATATATATATATATATAGTATGACAATGCCGAATCCACATTTTGAAAGAGTAATTGCCAATCAAGTGATTCAAACACAACCTGTGTTTTTCAAACAAAAGAGAACTACACGAGCTTCACCTACTAAGAAATGGAGATCCAGACTTCATTCACGAAGGTGAACTTAAGGGTTAACCTCTCCTTCCCACTGGAAATCCTCATTGTGGGGGTGGCCAACGAAGCTTGACCGGCATTACTGCTGCAGTGTATGAGATATGTTGAATGTCCCGAGATCTAGGCCTGGTTCATCAACTCGTGTTAGTTAACTTCAGGGGCAAGAACATTCTTAGCGGTGCTAAGTAACGTTCATGGAAACATTTCAGTGCAGGGCAATAAACAAATATCGGACTCGACTACAAAATTCGCGGCTAGTAAGCAACATCATCGTTTTCCATTCCACTTGTTTTGCCACCCCTACTGCATGTCCATTTTTGTGAACCTTTTATTTCTGCTCGATACTGGACATTCTTTTTTCCAGCACTTTCTTGGGTTGGCCATCACCCCTTCCGGCATTTCTCAGAGTCACGCCGTGAGCTGCGTGAGATCACCATACGATCATAGACCAGCGTGAAATTCACCCTACTTGTGAGTGTAGGATCAGGTAGGAACCCTGTGTCTCTGGCATCTTAATGAATCCCTAGATGCGTTTGCTAAGTGGTCGGGAGTTGGCACAGGCGCAAAGCAAGTATGGTGGATGGTGCGCCTGTGATGGCCAAAATCCAATTATTTTGGTCCGAATGCGAGAAACAATTCAACAGGACCAAACTAACGCTATCCAGACAAGTTCCTGCGTCCTACTGCATTGTCCCCGAACTTTCGTAAATGACGCACAGTCAAAGATTGGTTTAGCAACATCAAAGCATCGACGATAGATCTGTAATAAATGTTTGGTACTATCAAAATCACAAAAGTACCTGACAATGCCTCTGGAAAACTATGCAGTCCAAAACGTTCTCCGGCATGAATATGCATTATACAGCCAAAAACTGGTTAACCAAATACAATTTTTAGGTGTCTGAGGCTCAGTGAGGATGTTCCCAATAAGACGGGGTCAAAATTGTCTACAAGAATCAAATGAATCGATAAACCTTTCCACTAGATGGTCAGAAGACGGGCAGTCAGATCACAGCGCAACCTTAAAATGAGCCAAAGCAAGATGCCGGGAACAGAAAGACAACGCCATGTTGTCAGCAGAACGATTTCACACAACAGTGGAGTGAAACATTAGGGCCGAGTTCTATTAAAAAACAAAGACGAAAAATGAGTGTAGAGCCAAATAAGACTGGTGAGTAACAGAATAATATTACATCGGTTGGGGTCGAGAGCATAATATCTATAGTGCGGATGAAAGTGTTCAAATTAATATCAGCGCCATCAAATAGAGTTCTCAGGAGGGATTTCAAATCGTTTATTCCGTTACAGTATGTACCCAACTTTGTCTGAACAACTTTGTTAAGTTTATCAAGCCAGTTTTCAGTGTCCGGTGCTGTCGAGTTCCAGGCTTTTGTTT